ATTTTAAAAAAAACATAGGATCATTGAACAAATATACTCGGTCCATCTTTTTTCAATAAATCAAAACAACTGAATATTAAGTTAAGTTTATATGACATTCTTGTTATAAATACTTTTAATTTTAATTTAATATTTAAATTAAATTTAGTTATTTTGGTTTGGTTGGGAATATATATATAATAATTATTAGTTAGTTATTAATTTGAAATATCTTTTTATAAATCTATATAAGTTTAAGTATATCGAAACTACTCTTTATATTATACTATATATAGATGAATGACCATTAATTAATTCAAAATATCTTTTTTTTTTTTGCCTATATGAACTATTTTTTTGGTATAAATATTTAGAATTCGCACTTGGTTTAGAATTTGGCACTACAGTCTCTATATATACATAAATCCTGATTATGAAAAGGGTATTTACCTAATCAGCAGCCATGGCGACCAAGAGGTTGATGGCTGCATTTGTGCTGCTCATATTCCTTTTTCCTGTGGCTTTCTGCATCGGCAACAGCAGCAAGGTGATTCATTAATTCTCGTTTGGTCTTTCTTTATCATAGATCGTGTTTAGCTTCACATGACCACATTAAATCATTTTAATCTAATGGCGCAGAACTACATAGTGGATTTCGGAGAGCAGCATAAAGATGTGCAGCTTCATGAAATGGAAGACATTCATCGTTCTTATCTGCGTCTCGTGAAGGAGACAGACGAAGAAGCAGAAGCTTGTCATCTTTACAGTTACAAGCACAGCTTCAATGGCCTCGCGGCGTCCCTCACTCCAGAAGAAGCCTCCAGACTTGCCCGTAAATAAATATTATGATTAATGATTAATGATTAATGAATGATTATTGGGCGATTAAACAATGAACTAATAACAATAAGGTTACAATTATGGATTGGAACACAGGAATCAAAGGAGTGGTGTCAGTGCGAGAGAGCAAGGGAAGAAAGGCCTACTCTCTGCACACCACAAGATCATGGAACTTTCTGGATTTGAAGCACCCTGCAAATCATGATCATGATGATGATGATGATGGCATCTTGTCCAGAGCTAAGTATGGCCAAGACATCATAGTCGGCATACTTGATACTGGTACGTCCTTAATTATATATCTTAATTAATATTAATCATATTTATTTGAATAGACTGCGGTGCTGATCATATGAAACTGTGTGTGTGAATAGGAATTTGGCCAGAATCCAAGAGCTTCAGTGATGAAGGAATGGACCCGGTTCCTGCCAGATGGAAGGGAATCTGCCAAAATGGAACTGCTTTCAATGCATCTACCTGTAATCGGTATTTATTAGTATAATTCATTATTCATGACGTCACATTAATTAATTAATCCTTCAAGCCGTCTTCATTAAACCCTTTTTGTGAGAGTTACAGTATCATTTATTAACAGGTGTTGAGTTTGCAACTGAACACGATCACCATGATTGTTTCCTGCCTTTTGTTCTTGTCTTGTTGATTCTAAAATGCTTTACTTCGATTGCCCAGATTAAACTAGACATTTGAAATCTTTGATTCAATCTTCACCCAAAATTATTAGGGTCAGATGAGATTCTTTAATTAAGCACGTGTCCAATTTTTAAAACTCAGTAAAATATATATATATATTTCAAGTGATGAATATATACACAAATTTTACAAATTTTACCTTAGATATTGTAAGCTTTTTAACCTTTTTTTTTTTTTTAAATTAGACCTAAGAAACTGTATATGAAAAATAAATAAAACCGCTTACGAAGATTTGATTGGTTTTATCATTTGCAGATTTGTGATCCTTATAAGTCTTTGTTTATTTTGTTTATACTATATTGTTTTTTAGTTTAATTATAACAAATAAACCGTTACATTTAACTATGAACATCATTATACTAACCTGAAGATCAAAAACAGGGAACATCGTTTGAAAGATAAGATTTAAAGATAATTTTCTCACAACTTATATAATTCTGTATATCAAGAGGATTTTGATGCACAAATTCAATTATTTATAAATTATAACATCAATTCTTGATTTTTATCGTTGAGATGCATGAAAAATGAGATATTTAAAAGATATTAAAATTCATTCAATAATTCAATAAATTCAAAAATTTAACCGAACATACAGGGAAACATGCAGTGTTTGAATTTTTTATGATCCAGAAAGATCATTGGAGCTCGGTACTACCTGAATGGATATCAAGGCACATTTGGTCTTCTAGACGAATCCCAGGACATCAAATCAGCTCGTGACAAAGACGGCCACGGCACTCACCTGGCTTCCATCATCGCCGGACGCACCGTTCCGAATGTCACAGGCTACGGCGGTTTTGCCGGTGGCACCGCGTCGGGAGGCGCCCCCATGGCCCGCCTCGCCATATACAAGGTATGCTGGGTTTGGCCAGGCAGTTCTTTTGAGTCAGGGAATCACTGTGACGACTTGGACATCACCAAGGCTTTCGACGACGCCATCGGAGACGGCGTCGACGTAATAAGCTTCTCCTTCGGTTTCGATGACGCTCAGAATTTTGTACGCGACAAGAGTGCTATCGGATCCTTGCACGCCTTGAAGAAGAATATCGTGGTGGTTTCTAGTGCCGGCAATAGCGGACCTGATGATCAAACTGTGACCAATGTTGCTCCTTGGCTCATCACTGTTGGTGCTAGTCATACAGATCGAACCTTTCCTGCTCCTCTTGTTCTTGCCAATGGCACAAAAATTCAGGTGAGTTATAACAGTTTCTGTATACATGGCTCGTGTTCAACCCCGATAGCATTATATGGCTGTTTTTATTGATCACTGCTATATAACATTACCAGGGACAATCAATCACTCCAGTGCAAATGGACAACAGTTTGCACAGCTTGGTGTTGGCCAGCGATGTTGAAAAACCAACGATTTCTGAAACAGATTCAGGGTGATTCTTCAATCCTAATTGAACACTGGTGATGATTATACGTTAATTTGGCTATAATAACAAGTGTGTGTGTGGGGTGTGTGTGCAGGTATTGTCTGGACGGCAGTCTTGACTCAGAGAAGGTGAAAGGGAAGATAGTGATGTGTCTGAGGGGGAAAGGTAGTCCATTACATCAAAGCCTGGAAGTTAAAAACAAAGGTGGGCTAGGTTTCATCTTGGGAAATGATCCTGATCATGGGAATGATGTTTCCTGTTTGCCCAATCAAATTCCATCCACTGGTGTTGCTTTTGAGGATACCAAAAAGCTCATCCATTACATAAGAACTACTAAGGACCCTAAGGCTCGCATTCTTCCTGGGCGCACATCCTTCAATTCTAAACCGGCACCCACCATTACCTCCTTCTCTGGTAGGGGTCCAAATCCTATTGACCCTAACTTCATAAAGGTAACTTCTATATATAACTTCGTGCGTGCGTGCATGTTGACTTAATTGGTGTGCCTGCTTTTGAAGGCTATATATTGATGTGATGATTATATTGCAGCCTGACATAATAGCTCCAGGAAGCGAGATATTGGGAGCATGGACAGATGTGGATGGGCCTACAAGAAATAGTAAGGGTGGCGACATGAGAAAGACTCAGTACAATATAATGTCTGGAACTTCTGTGTCTACTCCTCATGTTGCTGCTGCAGCAGTTCTTATCAAAGCCATTCACCCTACTTGGAGTGCATCAGCTATTAAATCTGCCCTCATGACCACAGGTAATTCAGCTTCAAACCATCCTCTTTACATACGAGCTGATCTATATACCAGTCTTTTGTGTTGCATTGACATGTGTGCATATGTTTGGTTCTGTTACAGCCTCGACGACAGATAACATAGGAAATCCAATAACGGATCAAGATGGAAAACCTGCGACGCCATTCGAAATGGGATCAGGCCACCTGCGACCTCTGAAAGCAGCAGATCCTGGACTGGTTTATAATGCCACTTACGAGGATTACGTTCTTTATACCTGTGGCCTTGGACTGACACACGGCATGAATATTCCGTATCAATGTCCAGCTGAAGTGCCTGAACCAGTCAACCTCAACTACCCATCCATACAAATTTCCAGGCTCCTTGGAACCAAGACCGTTACTAGAAGAGTCACCAACGTTGGACGCAGCAATTCTACTTACACCTTCCATTCTGAGGCACCCAAGGAATATACTATCACTGCCTCTCCGAATGTTCTGGTGTTTGATCATATTGGTCAGGAATTGAGCTTCAACATCACCATCACAGTCGTTAGCTGGAATTACCCCACCCAGTACGATCCAGATCTCTATTATTTTGGATCCTATGCTTGGACTGCTAAAGACCATGTCGTGAGAAGCCCTGTCGCCGTGTCTTTCCCATAAAGTTTTTTCTTATCATACATTATGTTTAGGTTCGTTTTCTAGCTTATTTCATGATTTAACTAATTTAATGTCTTTGAATTAGGAGAGGTTTGATATTCAGAACAATGAGTGTACTACTAAATCATTGACGTTAAGTTTATTAGCTGTAATCAGCATTGTTTTTTTGCATTTATTTTCAATTTAGTTACAGCATAATAAGTAAATATTTTTTATCATACATTAAGTATGTAATTTAATTTTTTTAATTATTTTTTCCAGGTAATTGTTTTTATTATATATACATGATTACCACGACCAAAATTTACATTTTTTATTTAATTAAAATTTTTGCTAATAAAAATGTAACATAGAAAAGTTCTTTTTTATTTGGCAGTTTTGTAGTTGTCGTTGAAGTTTATTTTCTTTCCTCAACTCTCAGGCAGCCAGTTTTGAGTACCTTATATTTCCTTTTTTTTTTTTTTTTTTGGTCAATTCACATTTCATTCGGACTAAAACACGAGAAGAGTTGCAATAAGCTTGTCATCCCTGGAAGCACCGCGAAAGAGAAATTCAAAAACCACCCATCAACATAAATATTTTGTAAGAGATTAACGAATACCAAAGTGGCACCACTCTTTCCTTCCCAAAAATAGCTTCAAAATCATTTATACTAGGTATTGAGTTTCTAGTTTTCTACATAACATTAGAAGAAATCCTATACATTTCACAAAGGTTAAGAATTGAGCTACATTATTCACAACTTATAAATTCTATATTGATATTAATGCATGAAAACAAGTGAATGACAAGAGGCCTGAATCTGAAAGAGGTTGTGGCCAGGCTTCCAAGGTGAAACAACCATTATTTGATAAGTCTATAAAATCAACAAGGCAGAATGCAACAAATGAATTGACATAAAAGCAGAGGCAAATTGAATGAATGTGTAAGTTAATTGGGAAGCCGGGCCAACCCAGCGCTGACCTCAGAGAGTGGTACGTCCGTTTTCTATGAAGCAGAAAGATATCTTGCATGCTTCCAAATGATGAAGTGATGATGAATAATAGAAGTTAAGCATGCTTGAATATCTTCATGCTTAGCCAATGACAGTATACAGCAACCACAACCATGGGGAGAGTCAATGGCACCAAGAAGCAGTAATACCTATAAAAAGCTGAATACAGATCAGGAAAAAGAATATATGATCTGAAAAAAATGTCTGAGGGAGATAGATAGTAATAAAAAAAAATAGAAAACCAGAATGGTAATAGCAGCATTATTACTAACAACAATAATGATCAAGTTCTTAAGAATAGTCATAATAACATCAGTAAAACATACAAATGAAAAGCCTATAAATAGTTTTTTTAAGAAACAATCGAACTGGAAGAGAATCACGAGAGAAAAAGATTAAAGGTTATTTCCAATATATTATTACAGTTAACGATTCATCAGGATGAATTCAAGAACGTCATGTGCATATTCGAAGGCAGTACTCTTTGGAAGCGGCAGATCTCACACAAGAAGGCATTTGACATGTCATCATTTCAATCCATGCATGGAAGATAACTGCATTTGGTACCCTGATATCCAAGGTTCATGTGTTTGGCACATTATAACAAGCTTTGATTGTTAGGATCCCAATGTTTCAATGACATTTCATACTACCCAAAAACGTTGGGAATCTTATGTCCTCAATTCTTAGCTTTGTCAACTTCTATCTATAAGGTGTAACAAAAGTGTCCTTTCCTTGATAAGTTTCAATCACCATACATGAGATTGCTAAACACTAGATAACAGTGCTCTTGTAACCTAAAATCTCATATCTAGGAATACTAGGTACCTAAGAAATAGGAATTTAAGATAGAAGTGTAACAAACAATTCCCTGTATTCTCTAAAAGCTAAAAGACTTAACCTAAATAGGTTGGTTGTAAGTTTGCACCCGTAAAGATAACCATTTCATTTGTTGAAACACTACCCTGTTACTGGAGTCAAAGCATCTCCATCACAAATAAAGTAACCTCAATTTCTACACTGTACATAACTGGTGATGGAGGAAATTCCAAACAATACTGACGATAGCATGAGGCTTCTCTTCACAGTTTGAGGACTAATTTGTTTTGCTGTGTGCTTCACTGTGACTATATATTATATGCCTTTTATCCGTGATTTTTTTGTCATTCAGAATGAATTATGAAAATGCTTGATTGGGCACTTGATTAAACCAAATAAAGCATCATATTTCAATAGATCATTCATATGGGATGCTAACTAATAGTACCAGCAATCTTAACACAGAATAACTGCATCAATCATGTTCTGGCAAGCATAAACTATGAGTTATTTGCATCAAATGATCAAGAACCTTATGTAGACCCCCTTAATAAATGAGAAGGCACAAGCTTCCCACTATCATTTGGCCATCCCATTATCCATAGCATGTGTCTCGCTGATAAAGCTCGGCAGTAGTATATTAGACATGAAGCTAAAGGACCTCAGCTATTTTGAAGGCACACCATCCTGAGGGTAGGAAGGAGTTCCTACACTGATGAGCTCATTTCTTCTTCTTCTTCTTTTTTTAATAACAGATGAGCTCATTTCTAACAATAAAAAAAATGGTTACAGAACTCTACTGATATACTTTTACAAGCTGGTTCTCTCTGAAAATACACATACCATAAATATCTCTATAGTTTTACCTCAGAGCTGACTGCCTGAAATCTTAAAAGACGTTAAAAGCATTTAATTTATCTGCCCTCAAAGCAAAATTAAAAACTAAGATCCAAAATGATAAAAGATTTAACAAAATATTTTCTAAATCATTGCCCACAATTGACCCATGTGCAATCCTCCACGACATCTACATACTCAAAATGGCAAGGATAAAACTTTAACCAAGTTATTTCGTATAATCAAAATATTATCATGTAACAATCTGTATCAAAATGAAACAGAGATAGTGACAGTCAAACATATCAACTTGTAGCATGAAAGATAAAACCGTAATACATCTAATCTACTGACATTACATTAATTACAAAAATAAAAAGCCCAGTATGGAACATAATTCAACATCGAGGTCTTATGATTTATTCATGCATTATTTCCGTCCATAAATGAACAAAGCAGATAAAATCAAATAAATAAATACAACCTGCATTCTTTGTATAATGATACTATAATTGATTACCAGTCATTTTGCAAGGCAGACATCATCACTACATTGGAAGGCGGGAGAAGCTTGGAAATAATTGCAGCAGAAAAGTACCCAGCAAAGAATATAGAGCCAAGGGTTATTAAAATGCACCCCCAAAATGTACCCTCTTTAGATGAACTCATTCAACAGGACCTCCAAGAAGGGTAACTCACAGAGTAGGAAGATACCAACCTTGAACAAAATTAAATTATAAAAGAAAAATTCAGAGATTTGATTCGTCAGTTTATCAAATAAGAGAAGACACCATTTTCAAGCCGAGAAAAGTATCTGGAAAAATATCAATTTCAACACGGCTAATTTGGTAACTAAGATAAAAGCGGGCATCTGATACAAGGAACAAAGAAAGTACCGTATGAAGCGAATTGGATAAAATTGGCGGACGAGATCAGAAATCAGTAAGAAAGAATCAAATTAATTCCATCTCCTGTACTCGGCAGGGAGTGTGAACCAGTGAGGAGAAATGAATGCAAAGCGCGATTTCACGGGCCCGAGCACGAGCACGCCAGAGAGAAAACACCGGCTGGAATCAGTCCGAAGCACAACAGAGGAGCGTCGGAGAGTATCCTAGAGTCAAAATGCACCGTTGCGTTAACCTTTTTGGCATTTTTGGGATTCTCTATTTCTTTTCTTTTTTTTTTTTTTTTGGTCACTCACAGTGGATTGTGAAAAACTCAAAATGTGTCATGGGAATATGGGATTACGTTCACGTGACGTACGGGACCTTTCATTTGGCTTGAAATGTATTGTGGGAGGCTTTAATATTTTTACTGGAGCATTTTAAAAAGCGCTCTGGTAAATGTTTTTAAAATATTTCTTAAAAAATTAATAAATCGTTTTTAATTATAAATGCTGTAGTAAATTCTTTAAAAAAATTCCCTGATGGATTTTATTTACTGAAAAACATATATATCTATATATATATATATATATAAAAACGATGTACCAGAACCTTTACATGTAAAATGCTCCAGCATGCTCCATCTCTATATATTATACTCTCTTCATTAAAAAAATATAAAATATTTTTTAAAAAATTAGATGTTTAAAAATATAAAGCATTTATAATTTTTAAGATATAATCATTGACTTTTTCAAAAATACCCTTATTGATAGTAACTTTATATTTATTATAAGATGCTAACAGGAGTAATATTATAAACTACTTTATTGGAGATAAAATTTATTTAAAAATATCTTATATTTTTAAACGGAGTGAGTAATATTTTTTGTATGTATAAGTGTTCAAAATTTCTTAAATGAACCCACTATACCATATCATCCATAATATATCTAATAAAAGCATGACATTCAAATACATTAAATATAATATAAATTGATTATAACATTAATAGTAGAGAAAAATAAAAAAAATTAAACGCACATTTTATTATTATAAAAATAAATTCATTAAAATAATAACACATAAAATTTTATTTATTTAAATTAATATAATTTTATTGGATGAATAATATAATGGATCACAGGATACGTCCAATACATCCAAGAATTTATTTTATAGATTTTTGTGCTATTGATTTTAGGAAAATATGGTCCTATTAATGAGCCCCGCTAATTAGCTGGGTTTTGGGTTTCATCTGGGTTCAAAAATTAAAATATTTGGTTAATATAATCTAACATTGTTATTGCTTCATTGTTAGTAGCCTCATATTATATTTTTTAATTTAGTTATAAAATATTTGGTTAATGATCATTTTTTTCACCTCAACTTGAAGGGTCAATAAGAATCATGAATTGAATATTTTATAATAAAAAAATTAAAAATATATTATAAAAATAGAGTTAAGAGGCAAAAATAATCATTAATTAAAAAAAAAAGACAAATGCAAGTTCTACTAGTTATTGTTGCAACTAAAAGCCCAGCTTGGAATTTGCATACACAACTAA